GCTAAGTCCTCAGCCCATATTTTTATATTCGATCTTATCCAAAAAGCCAAGAAGAGATGTCAGCCCATATGTTTAAAAGAATGTAAGATCTTTTCCATCATTGCTGCCTCTTGTTCACACGCTTGCCAGGTAATGTACTAATCACAGCATTTCCTAGCCTGTCCCAGTCTCGTACATGCTCCTTTGTCCCAGGAAGGGTTTTTTTCCTCTAAACAAACCACTAATGTTTACCGAGATACTCCTGAAACAGTAATACTTAGAAAATAAGTAAAAGAAAGTAAATTCAAATCCTGAAGCAACTCTGACTGATTGGACACATACTCAGAGTTTAAATTTAAAACAGACAGTTTTGAGAAACAAAATAGAAATCAACGTTCTAGGAGCTAAGGAGCAAGTGCAGTTTTCCTTCCATAAACGTTCATACCACCCTTTAGTCTACAGTTTTGCCTGCTTGTTATAAAAGTAGAACAAAAAATCCATATAAGAACAGCAAAAGATTAGGTGGGTAAAATTAGTGTCTTGTCATGCCAGATGGGAAGGTATATGTTGCCAATAATTTTAAAAGGCAAAATTAAAAAAAGGAAAAAAAAGTAGATGGATCCAATCCTTTAAAAAAAATTACACACTTTCAAACGAAACAAAGTATTATAAAGTAGTTTTGTTTGTTTGTCCCATTTTTTTGAGACAGGGTTTCTCTATGTAGCCCTGGCTGTCCTGAACTCATTTTGTAGACCAGGGTAGCTTGGAACTCACAGAGATCCACCTGCCTCTGCCTCCCTGAGTGCTGGGATTGCAGGCGTGTGCCACCATGCCCACCTTATAATGTGGTTTTTTTGTTTTTGTTTTTTGGGTTTTCTTTTCTTTTCTTTCTTTTTTTTTAAGAATTCAAGACTGAAGAAAAAAATTCAACAACCCCGAGCCAAATACAAATGATAGCTTGCTATATGGAAATTATGAGAAACAAATGTGTGTGATGTGTGTCTGTGGATTCCTGGGTTGTGTGGACATCAAGGGACCTCAGGAGTCACCTCTTACCTGTGTGACACAGGGAAGAAGTGAACCTCAGGGTTCTCAGCTGCACTTTACCACACTAATAATGACACTGCAGGAACAAGCTACAATGCCAAGCATCACATGGAGTCTGAGGATTCATCCTCAGATCCTCACACTTGCAAACATGTGCTTTGTTCAATAAGACATTTCCTCAGCCTCAGAAAAAAATCATTTTATATAAGTATTCTGTTAGATTTTGCAACACAGTGACAAAATAATTGACATAAACAACTTAGGAGAGTAAAGAGTTAAACTGTGGTTTCTGAAGTTTAGGTCACAACAGGTAGGGCACAATGGAGCAGCTCACGAGTGCACATGTAACAGGAAGTGGTCAGGGAAAATCATAGCACGCAAAATTATGGACCCAGTGGCCTACTTCTTCCAACTTGGAATGCCACAGCCTTCCAAAAGCCTAAGTCCATCAATGGATTAAATCCATTCATTAGGTCAAAGCCTTCATGATCTAATCATCTCTGGAAACACTGACAGACACATGGGGTGTGTCTTTATAAATCATGTTCTGGGTTATTTCTCAATCTAATCAAGAGTTACTGAAACAATCAGTATCACTAATATGGCTTATCACTGGGATATTGGTATAATAGAAAATACCAGAAAAAGACTGATATGCTCTCATTTGATAATGCCACTTCCGGATATCTACACGGCCTAAGGAACATTCGTTCACATTTATCAGAGGGAACTCTAAAATAGTGGAAAAAAGGGAAGCATTATCAAACACTATAAAATGATTTGCTTTTGATAGATCAATGAAAATACTAAATACTAAAAAAAAAGCCTTAAAAATTATTTGCTACCTTAAAAAAATGTTACATAACAAAAATTATCTTAAAAATACAAAGCTATTTGTGAAAAGACAACTCAGAATCTCTGAAGATGATAATTACTGTAGGAGACAATTTAGACCTAGTTGCCACACTATTGTACATTTTAAAAATAACCTTCAAAAGCACAGTAATTAAGACTATACACATAGACACTGAAAGACACTGATAAGAAACAAACATAAAAGAGCAAGGGAGCATCCACTACAAGAATCCAAAATAAAATAAACAAAACAAAGAGTTTCACACATAAACAAGGATCGTAACTCTTTCTTGCAAAAATTGGCAAAACTGGAAAGTTCTGAGTAAATAAAAGACTGAAAGGTATAACTTAAATCATTTTGTCTTTACTCTAAATTTAATTTGTAAATTAGTAGCTTTTACCTCTTAGCATGATGTTAAAAATCAAGACTCACCAAGAATTACATACACCACCTGAAATCTAAACCTGGTATTTTGATTCAGTTGTTCCAGAAGAAAGGTGAAGATTAATTACCCTCAAGATATAGACAGATGCAGACAGACAGACAGACAGACATCAAGACAGCTGACATAAACATACTCTATCACACACACACACTGAAGACTTTTTGTTTGTAATCAACAAGAATATTTTTGAGGTTCAGGTTAAGTCACTAGCCTAGAGCAAAAGATAATTAACAAGAATACAATAAGCAGCATGTATCCAAGCAGATTTCATGACAAAGAATAAAATAGAAGATCAGGTGTTTTATTTTTTCTTTAATTTGGTTTCATGAATAATTATTCTATTTTGTTTTTTTAAAACCTTAAGAGTCACACACAGGGTCATTAACAAAAACAAACACTGTCTTAAATGTTTAGATGTCAAATAAGGGGAAACCCACGAGAGGCTAAGAAAGGGGAAATGACTGCAAGAAAAATTTGCCTGGCTGTACACTTATGAAAATATGCTTATCTGAGGTTAATGCCCTCTTTACTCCTAAAGACTGCTAGATTGAACTGACAATCACTGTCAGTTCAAGGTCAACTTGGTCTACAGAGTGAGTTCCAGGACAGTCAGGACTACACAGAGAAACCCTGTCTCGCAAAACCTAAAAAAAATAAAATAAAATAAAATTAATAAAGAAAGAAAAAAGCAAACAAACAAACAATAAAAGAAACAAGTATCCTAGATGATTTAATCCTACATTCCTTACCCCAAAATAAATGGAGAGTACAACACACAGGTTCACTAGCAGAGTGATTTGCACATTGTAAAGAGCAGTGAGACATTCTAGAAAATCTAAAAGGCATGTATAATTTAAAAAACTGTACTATTTTGATTCCTTTGTCCTTACGAATCACTGATCACCCTGAGCACAGAGTAGATCTCCAGTGCTCACTCCATTATTTCTGAAGTAATAAGTGTAGATAATTTTGATCTCAAAAATGTGACATAGAAAATCTTACTTTTTTCTATGTCACTTACAAAATGGTGACATAAAAAGTCTCTAACAGGCTTATATTTTTCCTATGTCAGTTATACTTTTCCTAGATAATAGTCTTATATTTTTCTATGTCATTATTTTATATTATATACTTTTCTATGTCACTATTTTATATTATATATAATATTATTATATATAATAATGTTATATTATTATATATATACTGTAAGGGTTTATAATAAGTTGAGATATTTCAAAAGCTCAAAATCCCATAAATGGTCAGAGTTCACTTTTAAATGTTACATTTAAATATGATGCTACCAAACCTTAACTGCAGATTTGTAAAACAAATGTATTAATTATATTAAGACCTACACCAACACAGGTTTAATTTAAGGTTTAGTTTTAATAGTCTTTAATTTTGAAAGTAAAACATTTTTAAAATTTATTTATATTGGAAAAACTTCCTGATCAATTATAAACAGTAACTACTGGGTTGCAAGAACAATAATAAAAGCCCTGTTCAACCCTTTGAAGTGCATTCAAGTGCAGCACTGTATACACAGCTAAAGGACTGCATTTCATGAGAAAGAAAAGTTTTTCAATTAAATAAAATTGCTCTGATATGATCACTGTTTGTAGAACTTTAGAAATAGGTATTTTATGTATAAATATGCTGGTTTTGTATTTTTACTTTGTCTAAAAGACAACCATTTTTGAGGGCCGCAAGCCTTTCCTCTGCATTTTCTCTAACAAGTCAGCACAGTTCAGATGCAATTAAAGTCTCAACAAGCCAATTTACTACCCCTCTAAGTTGTCCTATAACCGGTTTCTAGATTACTCTCATACAAACACTGCCAATGTCGTATTCTCCAATATTCAAAACCTGAAATTATTTCTTATTGTTTCCAGGCCAACAACTGATTGTTCTTTACTAACTCAGTGTGGTGTCCCTAGTCCTACCAGTCCACTGAACTGAGCAATGTATAAACAGCATGTGCAGGTGAGATCACAGACAAGGAAAAGACAAGGCCAAAGTCAAAAGGAGAGAGTTCTACGTTCCCTACACCAGACCGTGTTCAGCACTATAGCAGACATACATGTTCCAATAAACACAATCGCCACAGTTCTGTCAGAGCAGAATAAGGAAGATGTCAGACGAAATGACACTTTGGCATATATAAAGCTGAAAAGTTCTCTCCAGTAAGTGTCATAGCATTGAAATATCAACACCAAAGTTTCCTCATCTTTGAACAGCAGCTCTAATACACATTTCCATTTTCCTCTGATCCTTTTAAAAAATATCCATGAAAAACTCCACATTAATTTAAAAAAGAGAATTGTCTCTGTTTCATTTGCTAGTTGGTAATTTCTCACAAATATATAGCTTTTACCAACCTTTGTTTTTATTAGTGAACATTAACATATGCTAAAAACAAATAACAGCCATCAATGAAAAAAAAAACTGCAGCATTAAATATAAGCTTTGAGAAAACCAAAATTACTAAATAATCCAGGACACAGAAGATACCTTTGAATACTTTCATTGTTTACATACATATAAAACTGAAAATCCTTGAACATATAGTAACAAGTACATAAAATGGAAAAAAAAAAAAACAACAACCCCCACACACTATGTAAAGACACAGTGCTAGATCTGTCAGCAAAATGCTTATGGAAGCCTGAGGACCTGAGTCAGGTTTCCAGAGCCCATATGAAGAGCTGTGCGTGGGGGCACGTGTCTACAATCGCAGTGCTGAGAGGTGGAGACAAGCATCAGTTCACTGCCTCGCCAGTCTTCATGAAGAGATTAACTTCGGTTCAATGGCAGAATCTTCGGGGAAAAAAAAGAGGAGAAGAAAAAATAAAGGTAGAGAACAGTATCACTCCTCACATCAACCTCTGTACAAACATGTGAGTGTACACATACATATACATATGTCATATACCAAATAACAAAGCCTTGTCTTTTTTTTTTAATTTTTGAGGCAGAACCTTCCTATGTAGCTCAGAATGGCTTTAAAATTGCTTGTAATCCTCCTGCCTTACCCTCCCCAGCACTGGGATTACAGGTATGTGCCAAGATGACCAGCTAAATGGTTCTTATTTTTAGCCTTTATGGGAGCAGAAATTCCTTTCACCTTAATGGACCACCTCTTAGGAAATAATATTTTCTATTCTTTAAAATGAATAAGAAATCTATGTTAACAACACTAATTTATAGTTTTTCCATCCTAAAGATCAATTTTCAATATGAAAAATATTATATTTCTATTTTCAGTAGATATCTGAATAAAAATATGTAAAATTTGTACTTTGCTATATCAAGATAAAAAAATCAATAGGTGGTGTGTGTATGTTTGTTGAAGTTTTCATTCTGATGGTGTCCTGGATTGGCTCCCAAATATTGGCTCCCAGAAGCTCAAATGTTAAAAGCTCGGTTCCCAGTGAAGTAGTGGCCAGACGGTGGGCCCTCTGGATGATGACTATCATGAAGGCACTGATCTCAGGAACAGATTAAGGTATTTAAGAATTAATAGCCTAGTGAATGGCTGGGAGGCAGTGGCAACCTCGGGAGGGAGGTCTAGGGACTGAAGCAGATTCTGGAAGACATGACCATAAAGAATCTATTCTATGCGGGCTGCCCCTGCAGTCTCCCTTTGCTCCCCTGAGGCCAGCAGATTATCTGCCTTGCCCCACTGCATGCAGGTTCCTCACCATGATGTTCTGCCTGACCATAAGCCCAGAAACCATGGAGCCAAACAACCACAGACTGAAACCTCTGACCCTCAAGTCAAAATGTCTGTCTCTTGCAAGGTGATTTTTCTCAAGTATTCTGTCACAGGAGTATAAAGCTGGACAACACAGATGCCACATGCTCAAATAATAAAAGCAATTTAATTTAAATTATATAAATTCAATAATTCTAATACATGGAAAATCAAATGAACACAGACATTTTAAAAGGAAAGAGAATATACTTATAATGTCAAGGGTAATTTAGGGGAAGGTTCTTCTATGTGCTTTTTTTCCAGCGTTCATATTTCTTCTGTGCGTAAGAATATGACAAATACACAATTGAAAATCTATGTAGTAGCCTGGCATGGTGGCACACACCTTTAGTCAGCACTCTGGAGGTTGAGCAGGCGGATCTCTGTGAGTTCAGGCCAGCCCAGTCTACAAAATGAGTCCAGGACAGCCAGAGCTGCACAGAGAAACTGTCTTGAAAGCAAACAAACAAAGAAAATAAATCTACAAACTAGCCATGATAATTCACACTAGTTTGGGCTACATAGCAAAACTGCCTCAAACATCCATAAAACTAAGTGGTTGGGAGGACGACTGGAGCAAACCCCCCCACACACATGTGCTTTTCTCTCACTTAGCAATGCTTGTGGGGCTGTGAGCTGTTCAGCATTCCATCCTGGTAGAGATACTATGAGTACAGCATTTTTGAATGCTTAATAAAGTGGATCTTGGTTCACTATAGCAGTAGGACCCTGGAGAAAATTACTTAACCTAAGGCCTTTGCTTCCTTATTAAAAAAAAAAAAAAAAAAGATTTATATGATACAATAGGTTTCCTGTGCAGATTGAACAAAACAATAGTCTAGCATAGCACTGGGTACAACTAATGACAATCTCTTTCTCACAGTTTACTTTATAAACTGAAGGGTTGTGTGGCTTCAGGTTCGTATGTTGAGAGTTTCACCTACCAGTACAATGGTTTTTGGAGGTGAGTTTGCGGATCTAATTAGATTTAAGCAAGATCCAGAGGGCCTTTATAATACTAGCTACACCCTTGTAAAAAAACAAAACAAAACAACACTCTCTCCCAGGTTCCTTTTCCTCTATCCACCCCCTTCCGTCCTCATTCCCCTCTCCCCCTTTTTTCCCCTTCTCACCCTTCCTCTCCACCTGCAGGCACCAAAACAAAAGGCTAGAAAACCACACAGTTAAGGCAGACATCTACAAACAAAGAAGAGGGCCCTCACCAAAATTAAACCACACCGGCACTATGACCTCAGAGTGCCTTCAGCAGTCCAGAACAGTGAAAAAAAAACCCTTTTAAAAAGCCACCCAATATGTGATATTTTGTTATGGAAAATGAAGTAGACTAAAGTGTATCAAAAAATACTTTTGAAGATTCTTTGGAAAGCAGATCATTTTCACTAAATCTAAATTAGCTCCCCCAAACCTATCTCCAAACCATTTAAGCAGTAGGTTAGGGTCTTAACACATGGATTTGGGGTCATGCGTGCATAAACTATAAGAAAAAAATTAACTATTAATTGTGAGTTCTGCTAGACAAGCTATCTTGACGTACTGTGGATCTGTGAACCTACTCCTAAAAACAACGTTTACAATGGCATGTCACTGTAGACTATGAAACATTAGATTAAATGCTAGATGTTTATGATGTTCCAAGTTGGCCAGCAGAGAGAAAACAAGGCAGAACGAGAAAGGTATGCCCGAAACATTTTTTCAGGCTCTTCACAATTCCTTTTTCCAAGTCAATATATTGCAGACTTCAAAAGAAAACACACACACACACAGGAAATTAAACAACAGTTGATTATATTGTGAACAAAATGACAACAATCCCACTAGTGACAAGAAGAATCCCTGAAAGCCAATCCAATCAGTCCTCAGTCCCCAGTAGTTCAAAGAAACTGGCAACATCACAGGTTGAATTCGCTAGGGAGCTATGCAATGAGTCTTCTAATATTTATAGGTATAATGTAAACAACATTAAATACCATTACATCAGCACTGAAGATGAAAAATGCCTTGATCATTTTATAAAATTAAATACCTATGTAAAAAGTGTTAGCAAAAATACTCACTTTAAATTCAAAATAATCTGAAATTATTCTTCCTTTGAATACATAGAGAGCTTATTTCTAAAATAGAGACTAGGGTGTAACATATAGTGGCCTTTTCCCACCTTCACAGAAATACATATACTTAGTAATTATCTACCCTGGAAGTACAAAACTCATATAGAACAATGTCAGAACATTAAGTTATAATTACACAAAGACTAAAGAATAACAATAAAGATTCAGAATGTAACATCTTTTAAATATCCAAGACTATGAGACAGTAACAAAGGAAACAGGCAAAGAAATACTGTGTTCAGACAGTTTTTTAATATTAGGAGACATCACCATCTTTCCTTTTTGAATAGCTTCCTCCATTGCCAAGTTATCTCACTGCTTTTGAGTTTGTAGCTCTGTTTCATCAATGAAGGAAAAGGAAACAGTCTGCTGAAAGTCAAGGGGAAAGCAAGCCTTGCCAGAGCAAAGCAAATGATCTTACACCACAGCTTTCCAGCATAATTGCAGGACTAAGACAGTATCCGAAAACTTAGTGTTTCAAAACACACGTTAAAATCCCTGGTCAACACAGCTAAACTAAGGAACAGGACAAAATGATTTTCTGTTTTCTAGTTTTTGTAGAACCACTGACTTATATAAGCCACTAGCAGCAGTAAAGCTAACACACTGAATTAACTCCTCCAATTTCATCTTTCCTCACTGTGTACCTATCTCTTGTTCTTTTGAGAATCAATCTGCTTAGGACAGGTTACACTATGTCACATAGTTAATACCAAAAGTTACCATCTTGGGCCTGAATCCAAGGATGGGAATAAACTACATTTCTGACAACAGCCTATTTTAATAATACAGAAATTACAATTTTAACAAGGCTTAAACTCTACATATTTTCCTAGCTGTAAAAGTAATGTGAAATTTTAGAAAAAATAAAGGAGAACAGAGAAAGAACCACCCACAATCCAGAAAAATTAGATTTTTGATAAATTTTCTTGTAGTGACACAAATTTTTATTATCTACGTGGGTACTATAAAGTGTGAAAAATGTAATTTTTTGGTAAGTATATTAAGCATCAATTAATAATGCGGCCTGTTAATTTCACAAAGGCCTCTAAAACACTGGGGGAGTAGGAGAGTAAGTTGAAAAATACAGACTATTCCCTAGATGAAATACCTAAAATTTTAGTATCAATACTTTAAAGACAGCAAGTTGCAAGATATGAATGTTATTATAGTGACACTAACGTTTTTGCACCTACACTAAATGGCCTTTTCTTACCATTCATATTTTCATTAACGTTTTTATTTTCATTGTAAAAATAGTTAAAGCTATATCTAAATAAGAATTTAAAATATGTATCTTTAGTGTTATTTATTATTAATCAATTATTATGCTATTATTATTATGCCCATGATGTGTGTGGGTGTGTGCGTGTGGAAGTCACAAGACTTTATGATGCTCTCTCCTTCCGACTTTGCATTTGCTCCAATGTCTGAATTTAGGCCCTGAGGCAAGCCCCCTTACCCACTGAGCAATCTTGCCAGCCCTTGCACTGGAATTTTAAAGCACCTTAAATTCAACAGCTCATCAATATTTCTTTGAAGTACAGCTATCGAACAGTTAATTCTTCTGGCCTATGAGATGGTTTGCCAAATAAAAGAAAAGCACTCTTAACATTCCTGTATTCATTCTCATTAAAAAAATAATAAATAATAACAATTATAGAAGGTTCCTTAGTCGTACTGTTTTCTTTTGTTTGAACCCGCTGTTTTTGGAATTATGCAGCTGTCAGAACGACAAAAGCTGAAATGACTTCATTATCAAGGGGACACTATGTTTTATATATAAGCCACTTCATTGGGTTCATAAAAGAACAAAATAAAACCATATTACACATTACACATTTAGTTTACACATATTTCTAGGTTCAAAGGTTCGGGTCAATTCAACTGATCGCAGGTCTCACTCATTCTCTTCCATGGTTCCATGGTTAACAAAGTCTATCTCAAACAGTCCCTCAAATTTATTACTTTGATATTCTTGCACAAATGCCGTTGAAAAGAAATCCAACAAAGGCTTTGGGGCGGGGGGGGGGGGCGGAGAAACAGTAAAGTTGGGAGGCAAGAATTGTCTCCCTTTAAGTCAAGCATTTCCTGTTAAGTGACAGGAGGTCTGCTCCCAGGAACACACTTTGCTAGCCAAAGGAATGGCCCAAGACTCAAAACAAAATTTGCCACTTGTGTCTTGAAAATCAATCTTGTTTAAGAGGCGATAAAACAGGAACACTGACGCGTCTTCGAGGGCCATATTAACCTAAGGGAGAGGCGCCACGGATTTCAGCTAAATGCTTTTGCCATTTTTGAAGAAGAAAAGCTAATTGTTAATGGCCATGTGACACAGTAGATCCCAGAAAGGAAAGGGTGGGAGGAAAAGAGAAGAGTTCAAGGCAGTTCAGGGTCAGAACAAGTCAGGCATCCTGTCATTAGCAAACATTCTCCTAGCTGAAGGCAAAATACCGCTTGCCCCAGAAGGAGTGGGTGAAAAGTGGGGGAAGAGAACTGAGTGCGAAACCACAGGGGAAGGCGAGGTGGCGGCTCGGGCGGGGATGATGTGGGGGAGCAGGGCTGGGGTCACCCGGCTGAGATGGGGAGCAAAGCGCCGGACCTAAAACACGGCGAAAAGCACCAGCGGCGAAGACGACGGCGGACCCCCCCGCCCCGCACCACCCCCGGGTTCTCTGGGTTTCCCACAGTCCCTCCGCCTCCGGTCGGAGCGACACGCAGGGGTGTGACCCGCCAGCTAGAGGGCTGCCGGAGCTTTGTGTGGCCCGCTCCCCACTCGAGGGCTCCTCCCCCGCGAGCCGCCCACCCGCGCGCAGCCTCCCGCGTCTCCAAGGAGCCCGCAGCGCCGCGTCCTCGCCCACTCCCGCCGCCCGCGCCTCCACCCCGGCCCCGGGGGCCTTTTGTGTCTCGGGGGAGGCGAAGGAGGCTCT